GAAAAGAAAAGAAAAGAAAAGAAAAGAAAAGAAAAGAAAAGAAAAGAAAAGAAAAGAAAAGGAAAAGAAAAGAAAAGAAAAGAAAAGAAAAGAAAAGAAAAGAAAAGAAAAGAAAAGAAAAGGCTTACATAAAATGTACGCATTGGTAAGGACAATCCATATTCATTGAGTAGCAGTCCAATCATCTTTACATTTAAATTTTCTTTCTACAGTTCCTGCTTCATTCAAACTGTAAGTATTCCAAATTCTGCAACAAATATGGCAGGAGTCTTTCAGAAAAAAAAATCTAATTCATCACATAGCTACAGGAGTTTTCTCCGTACTGTGAATGAAGCTGAAATATTTTGGGGAAAAGCAGTATACAGTAGTTAATGCAGTTCTTAACAAATACAGACAAAGAGGGGAAATTACTTCAAACAATTTAAATAATTATATCTTTAATAATAGCTTTAAATAATGGCATTTGAAAACAGAAAGATATTTTCATATAGGTTTCTGTATCTGACTACAGAGAGCTTAAAAGGGCAAATCCAAGCTCCAGAACTTTCATCATGTGAAACTACAGGAATGTCAAGTGGTAGGGTAAGAACACTTTGGGCATGTTGCCATCTCAGTTACAGAAATTGATTTTTAAATAACTTGTCATTTTCAACAGCCTTTTACATCTTGTTACAGAAAATACATAAACATGCAGCTAAGAACCATAGAAGTGGCCCAAGTCCATTAAAATTGATAGGCTTTCTATGGACCATAGATCAGGCCCCGTGAGTATAAAGCAACATTCTCAATATACTGTGGCAATGCACTTTTTATTTTCCTTTTCTTTTTTTTTTAACTACTTCAACAGGCAAATAAGTATTTTATAGAAACATATATCAAGTATAATAATAGTACAGAAAACTAGATTAATTTGCTCCAATGACTTCTATAATTATGAGAACAAATCTGTCGACACAGAAGGAAAATAATGTCTGCTCTGATATTCCATTGCTTTTAGTGATGACATGTACTTCACATTGTTGTGGTATCAAACAATCCCATGTACATTTTTAGAGAAAAAATCTTAGGGTGACTTACTATCTTGTGAAATGGCAAAACACTTAATGTTAACAGTGATGCATGGACCAACTACTCCTTTTTTGTTTGTTTAATACATACTGAAGATACCATGGCTTGTTTCACAATACAAGCACTTTCAGAAAGTACATTAAAACCGATGGATACAAATTGAGAACATAAATTGAGGGTTCTCCCTTTTTATGAGGTAACAACGGTATCCTGTGGAGGTGTTTATTAGACCAAGTTAAGTGGAAGCATGATCAAGTTTTTCTTTCAATGAAAAAATGCCAAATAAGAAGAGCTGAATTCCACAACAAAAAATATCCCATGAAATAGGTTAAACAACTGAAAAACACTTCTAGAAGTACATGCACTATACTGAATGAAGTGGGATTAAAAGCATTAGACAATTCTAATTAGCACCCCAATCAGTGGTCAATGAGACTCTAGTTTTAGCATAGCTCCCAACATTAGCATCTGCAATCAATACATTGGAAAATATATATGAGTGCTAGCAGAGTTTTCATTAATTTTGTTACAGAAAGCAACATGGACCAGAGATTTTGTCTATGAAGAAATGGGGTGATAAAGTAAAATGACAGCTGCACATAAGGCCATAAAAAACAAATCAAAATTTGCACTTTGTGCATGAATTGACTCCATATTAGTATCATACTCTAATTATCTATTCTCAAAATATAGTCATTTTAAGCTCTGTGGAGAATAATGAATGGTATTTTAACTCTGAACTTAGCTGTAAATCACACTATGCAATCATCTTAAAGTAATAGGACACCCATGTGAATATTGCACACTACCAGGTAAAACAAAGCACTAAAGCAATGGAACAAAGGTCCATTACTTACATCCTCCACCAACAGTGCCCAAGACGACCTACAAGGAAGGATGGTCATTACTGGAAGTCCTCTGCCAGGTGTTTTGCCCTGCTTTCCTGTCCTTATTTTCCAAAAAGGTTACATGTCCTCTGCATTTTTCCCCCAACTTATCATTCCCAACTATTTGTCTTTCCTATAGCTATTTTCTCTTTATTTTCTTCTTGGAAGGAAATTTTGTTTATATAATAGACAGACTGGAAACCAACTTCATGGCAAAAATCAGGAGCAGCTGCCTCATGCAGATACCATGGAAACATCTAAGAACAAAGCGAGCACACAGTAACTACTTTCTGAGAACATTTCTCCAGCATCCAATCACTTGCAGCTCTCAGCCTCCTTGAGCCAAATGCAAATTTTTTACCACCTTTTATTTTTCTTACATATTTCATCCAGCTGCTTATTTATGCAAACTTTCACCATCTACATCATCTTACAATATAGATGTCCACAACTTAATTGCAGATGGTCTGATGTTTATTTGATATAGTAAAACTGGAAAGGCAGTTTGATGGATAGAAGAAAAGTTTTTAATGGATTTTCTGCTAGGAACCTTTTTTTTTTTTTTTTTTTCTCATTTGTTTTTTGAATTTTTTTTTTTAAAAGTTATTTATGAACTAACTTAGGCAAAGAGTGATTTCTATTTGCACACAGAACTTCTCATCTATGCTTTGCACTGCACCATGCAAAATGCTTCCCTGAAGCAGTTCACCTCTGAGGGCTGTTACCTCCCTATGACAGCATGGTATTAGCCCTTCTTGGCTTCAGTGAACCTTCATGTTAGAAAGTAATCTGTTTTCTAAAATTAATTTTGGAATCTACAAAACCTTGATTCAGTAGGAGAGACTATAAAATATATCCAGTGTGCACATAATACGCACAGATGTTTGTAGTTTGTTCCCATAGACTGATAAATTCATATTGCAGTTCTAACCTGTTGTTCTGTGTATTGTAGACTGAAGTGTCATTTGATTTATTAAAATAAAAAAAATCAAGAACATATATTAGTGGATAAGTAATATGAACAGAGATAGAAGTTATAGATAGCAGCATTAAGATATTTAAAAGCATCTTCACTGAAAATTATGCCACAACAAAGACAGAAAAATGTTGATTGTTTTGTTTTTCTTTTTAAAGAAGTACTACTGGTTGTTTCTGAAGAAGCAGTAGTAATGCTAGTGAAAGACTATTTAATTATTTTCTTTTAAATCTATTTCTAAAGAAAAAGCCATAATTATCATCTCTGGAAAGATAGGGGGAAATTACCTTTTCTATGTTTCAAGAAAATTATATCCTTATGGGCCTTTAAAGGGGATATCAGATTGAAAGAACACCATCTTTCCTCCCAAACATACAGATCTCCTACTATGCTCTTTGACAGAGCTAAAGAAAAATAAAGTATCTTTACATTCAATAATGCTCCTCATTAAAAGAATGCTCTTTTTTTCAAATTCACGTATTATTTTTTGGTCTCAGCATGAGGAATAGAATCTGTAATTTGGCTTAGGTTCACTGCATTTCCTTTTACTGTGGAGTAATTAATGAGTTTCAAACACTCATATTTAGGCCATAGCATCAGAAACAGCTGTTCTTAGGAGGGCTTCTGATTCCAAACAAAACTCACCAAAATTCATGGAAAATCAAGAGATAGAGGATTGTTCGAGCATTCTCCATCAGAAACCTTAATGACTGACCCTGCTGACATACCTATACTATTTGCTCTTCATTGGAGTTCTAAATTCTTGCAATACACTGTAAAGTTTCTAGTAAGATACTGAAAAGGCTAGGACACCACTAACCTATATGTAGTTCATGAATGCAATTAAATCAAGATCCATGGGGGTACTTAAATTTCTTAGTCACCTGCATGATCAATTCTGTTCATAACTGCTAGTCTTTTTATGTTGTCTTTAGGAGAGTATCTTTGAAATTATAATAGTTACTAAAAACACCCACCACGGAAATTAAGACTTGCAGCATACTTACTGATATTTTAATATTGCTTGCCTAAAATTGAGTCTTAACAAACTTTGAAAGAAACCCGAGCACAAACTAGGATGGTTTCCCCTAAAATTCAGCAGGAGACTCTACCCTATGCATATAAAAGGTTGCATGCCGTGTCGGCATCCATAGCTCTACAACTATAACTTTTGTTTTCCCTTAGAGCAGCAAGAAAGAGACATTTCAGCGTGACTTGCGAACAGGGCCTTGGAAAGGACACGTATAAGGCGCTATGCAGCAGGGCTCCGGCACACGAGCGACAGCCAGCACCTCGGTCCGCTCTGCCCGCTGCGGGCCGGGCCGCCCGCCAAGGCTTCCCGCCCGTGCAGGCACCGCGGCGGCCGGCAGAAGCGATCTGCGGGGCACCAAACAGGGCACATCCCCCGCGCCCTGCCGTGAGGCTGCCGGGCCCCCTCCGCCAGGAACGCCCGGGGAAAGCGCGGCCGGAGCCGCGCCGTCCCGCCCGCCGGGGCGGCTGCGCACAGCCCGCCGCCGGGCCCGCCGCTCGCACCGCCCCCGTCGCACCGCCCCGGACGGGACGCGGGGCGGAGCTGCGGAAGCGGCGGCCGCGGCGGCCCGTGGCTGCCTGGGCGCCGGGCGGGTGGCAGCGGGTGCCGCGGGTTTGCCGCGCTTCTCCGCCCCACCGTCACCGGCCTTCTGCGTCTCCGCCCGGCGTGACCCACGCCTCTCCTTCCGCCTCCTCGCAGCCCTGGCGGTGCAAGGCATGAAGCTGAGCAAAGCCCAGTACGATGAGATAGCCCAGTTCCTGGGGCACGTGCAGCCCACCCGGCAGAGTCTGAGGAAGCTGAAGGAGAAGTTCCCTAGGTAAGTGCATCCCGCCCTCCGGCCCGGCCCCCGGCGGCGGCCCGCGGCTCGCTGCGACCGGGCGCGGGGCCGCTGGGCCAGCCCCGCCCGGCGCCCCAGTTCAGGCCCCGGTACAAAATCAGCACCAAGCACACGCACAGTCGTCGACAGCAGGCGACAGCTCGCTGAAGCTGCCGCTGGGAGCAGGGTACTGCTCCACCCTCCGTGACCTGAGAAGTTGGCAAAAAATAAAGAACACTTCCTCCGATACACGTACAAGTGAAAGCTCCTGGGGCCCTTCATGAGCCTCTTATACACCAAGGGGGTCTTATGTGAATAAAGCCTTACGGTGCAGGACGAGCCTCCGTGGCTGAAGCTGAGTATGAAATACATCCTGCAATACCATTGCCCCTGTTTCTTAGGGAGAAGGGACTTCATGGACCCATAATTCTCTGCTTGCTGCTGCATTCCAGTTGAAACTGGAAAAGGGGTCATCTTTTTACCTATGGCCATTCATGTGCTTCTTTGCCTGAGCTGTGTTCAGAATTCTCAAAGGCATTTGCAAATGACCACGGCCTAGTATGGGAAGGTATCCATGACAGGATGTGACCCATGCTAAAAATTTCCTAAATTCATTTACTTTGTTGCTAAAATTTACTTCCTACCAATTACAACAGAATTCTAAGAAATGTTGCAAGGTTTTTCACTTGGCTTTCGCATTTGGTGGAAGGACTGCTATTGCTGAATTGGGAAGGAAAGCAAATTGGGTTCTGTGGGGAGAGGAGTGGTGCTGTTTCTAAAATCACAAGAAATAATACAGAATAATTGAGGGGTTTAGATACTGTATCTGGTTTGGTGAAAGAGAGAAATTAACAAAACAGAAAATCATTCACCTGCTTCCTGAATCAACCTTACTAGTCTTAATCACAAGTGTGGCAGAATAAACTGACACTGTGTGTAACTTACAGTAAGTGGATGAAGATCCAACATGAATTTAGGCTTTTAAACTGTCCAGTGAAATCCTTTCCTTTTCAGGAAAGTGTGAAAAAATTGCCCTGTTACAGAGAAGAAGTGATAATAAAGCACTGTGGTTGGATCAGAGAATGCATTGAGTTGCATTTTGGGGACCCGCTAACCTTGCACAGTATTTCTGCAGGAAAAGCATTTACCATAACAGTGTGTATCTCAGGAGCTTAGACTTTATCACTTCAGTGCTAATGAAATTAGGAGAGAGTATTTGTGTGTGCATGCATACATATGCATGTACATGTTCTCTTTTTCTACTCTCCTTATAAAGTTGTCTTGAAAGAAGATTAGAATTTGGGTTGGTTTTCCAGGTCAGTCACTATTTTTAGGAACCTGCTTCCAAGACAGATCCATAGGCACATGAGTATTTGTTAAATTTGTGAAGAAAAAAAAAAAAAAAAAAAAAAAAAAAAAAAAAA